CTTGGTCCATAAAAGAAAATGCATGGCATTTTAACAAAAACATACTTATATTTAAAATATTTATGAGGCATTTACAAAGGAGGAAAGAAATGTGGCAATTTACACTTGTTTATAAGAAGATAACTAGTTGGTGTTAAAGAAAGTCATATGGCCATGTTAATTACAATATGAAAAGAAGTAGATATCCAAAATAATGGAAATGCACTGGATATTTAAACACTCTGGGTAGACTTAAGACTATAAGAGTAGAACACTGTATGGTGCTTAGATACAACAGAACATAATATGAATTACGCTTTCTATAATTTGTTGAGCATTTCTGTATTTCAGGTACTGTGCTTAGCACTTTGCAAGGATTAATTCATTTAATCCTCATAGGAATCTTGNTTCAGGTACTGTGCTTAGCACTTTGCAAGGATTAATTCATTTAATCCTCATAGGAATCTTGGTACCACGTTCAGCTCCATGTTTTAAAAAAGGAAACTGTCTCAGTAGCTATTGGATTTGTGTCAAGAATACATAGAAGTGGCATAGCTGGGATTTAAACCCAGGCAGACTGACTCCAAAATCTATACTTAAAATAAAATTTTCTTCAACATGAAATTGAAACTAAATCATCAGAATATGTAAATGTTTTCCAGGATACAAGTTCAATTTGAGGCGGAGATATATGATACTATATTTATCTGAAACATGGGAAGGAGAGGAAGTGGGAAAAACTTGTGAAAGTATGAAAAGTTTGCAGTGCCTTTTCCTAAATATAGACACATAAACTGTGTCCTATGCTAGCCTGACATAATTTCCATTACAAATGCTCGAGCCCGAAATTGGGCATACAGTTTAGTAACATGTCTTTAAACATACAGAAAAGTTTAGATACTACAAGAAAATTCCTAAGAACTCCTGAGGGAGAGGAAGAAAGAATACATTAGAAGGAATTATAATGACAGATTTAAATTTCTTAAGTGAAATTGGTTTCTTTCATACTGGATATAACTCCCTTGCTTCTTGTTATACAAACAACCTCATGACTCCCTGAACTTATCCTCAACCAAATGATAGCGTCATTATAACAGTACATATTTGAATCCATTTTAGAATTTTTTTTCAGATAGAACATAGGTGTATGATTTCACTTCCCAAATTCTGAATATGTTTTTAAATGGCTCATTATAACCCATTATAAATGCTTCATAGTGCATGATAAGACTGACAAATGGCTAAAACTCACCCCAAAATAGCAGTTTGCTTTCTACCCAACTGTGCCTTAAATGGCAATTAAATCGTTCCTGTTTGTCATGAAAGCTGACTGATCCAGCACAC